CTGAGTAGCTGGGATTACAGGCACGTGCCACCATGCCCAGCTAATGTTTTGTATTTTTAGTAGAGACGGGGTTTCACCATGTTGACCAGGATGGTCTCGATCTCTTGACCTTGTGATTCACCCGCCTCGGCCTCCCAAAGTGCTGGGATTACAGGCGTGAGCCACCGCGCCCAGCCCCCAATGTGACTTTTAACTTCAGCTCACAGATTTCCAATTGGCTCTCTCTGTAGACCCTGGCCTCTAACAGGGAAAGAGCCTTTTATTTGGCTGTCTCGAGGGTGCCTTGAAGTTTGTGTATTTATAGATGTGAAGTGGGCTACCACTGCTTGCCTCTGAAAGTCCCAGAACCCATGTTACAGCCAAACTAAATTTGGTCACTGGACTGGTACCTGAGGGCTGAGGCTGAGACATGGCTGTGACTCTTTATGACAACAGCAGTTTTTAGTGGAGATTTTGAAGTGTCACAGCAAGGGGCCTTTCTGGAGTGGTGGTGGTGATTTTTCTGTCTCTGTGTCCCTTGAGTCACTGGGTGGCAGAGTGGAGGGGCACTGTTCTGTGTGGATGTGAAGTGTTGGTACTGGGTCAGTTGCTAGAGCAGAAGTGTTTGGTGGTGTTTTAATACCTTAGACCTTCCTTCAACATTACCATGTCCCACAGGTGGGAGTTATAGGACAGAGTGAGCCATTTAGGGTTTCTGAAGAAAGCATATTATGCCCGTGGTGTAAGATGCTGGAATCCTCCATCTCTGCAGGGTAGACCTGCAGTGGGTTGCTGAGGACTTGGTTGTGGGTCCTGCATTTCCCAGGATATCTCTGTTAAGATTGATTTCAGAAGGTCCAGTACACCCTGACTGGGTGAGAGGCTGTTTCCATATGGCACAAATAGGTTTGACTAAACTTTCGTATGTGGTTGGTTTGTGGGCCTAGGGTGACTATGGTTAGAGGGTTGTGCCAGTTCCAGAGGAAGGCTGGAAAACAGCATGAGCCCCACAGCCCATGACAGACTTGGAAAGAATCCTGTAGCTACTTGCCATTTGCTATTAGAGCTGAGGTTAGTCTCCCCAACCCCATCACCAAGAGGGCCTCCAGGAAAGAAGCATGAGCAGGGATGCATACTAGAATGTTTGTCCTTGGCCAGGTGCAGTGGCTCACACCTGTAATCCCAGCACTTTGGGTGGCTGAGGTGAGCAGATCACAAGATCAGGTGTTTGAGACCAGCCTGGCCAGCATGGTAAAACCCCTTCTCTACTAAAAAAAACACACAACAAATTAGTCAGCCATGGTGGTGCGCACCTGTAATCCCAGCTACTCGGGAGGCTGAGGCAGGAGAATCACTTGAGCCCAGGAGGCGGAGGTTGCAGTGAGCCGAGATCATACTACTGCACTCCAGCCTAGGCGACAGAGTGAGACCGTGTCTCAGAAAAAGAAAAGTCTGTCCTCAATGGTCTCTTCCAGGACCTTAGGGGTCTCCCTGCCCAGGGACAGAATATGGCCCTGGGGAGGCCAGAGCTGCCTTCCCCAAGACAGTGTACCCTCCTGACCTGGATACTAGAAATATTTTTCCTGGGTGGAGAGATATGTGTGGGACTTCTCTCCTTCTTGGTCCAGATCAGAGGTAGTACATTTGTGTTTCTAGAGTGGAGACCCTCAGAGCCCTGGGCTCCAAGATAAGAGTCAGCACCACCCACAGCACCCCTGCAGGTGATGATCCCTTATCTGGATCCCCCCAGGCAGGAGGCATCAGCATTGCCAGTAAGGAGACATAGGGCACAGATGACCTTGAAAAGGGATGCCCTCTCACTCACACCGCAGCTCTTCCCACTTCTCCATGGCACCCAGTCCTGTGCAACCCTGTATTTGTGCCATTTGGAAATAGCTGTGATCACCGTGGGCCTGCACATCTTGCACAAAGTTTCCTCCCTGATAAAAACTGGAAAGTTTAAGTGTTCGGGATAAGGAAAGGGCTGGGCAGCCATGCCATGAGGAAGGAAGTCGGTGTTCTGCACGTGTCACTGTGCACTGTCCCCTTACCCTCCACCAGGCTCTGTGGGTGAAGGCTGGGGTGCTGGGAGTTGAAGGTGCAGCCCAGCAAACCTGAGTGTAATTGGGAGAGGTCCCCTCTGCCTCTGAGCCTTAAAGAGCAGCTCCTCAGGGCAGTGCTGGCTCCAGCTGATGCTCCCTTTGAAAGCAAACTGCAACTGTTTCTCTCCTGAATTTCATAGAGCATGCCAACAAATGACAGCATGTGCCTTCAGTCTGTGCTTCTCATGCCTTTTACCTTGTAATTCTGGTGATCTTACATCCCTAACCTCTGGGATTGCTACAGAAGGGCAACTGTTAGTAGCTTACATCAGCAGTCCGGGCAGAGCAACTCCATGAAGGTGCAGTTTACTGAGATCCTTCTGCTCTGGGGCCAGCAGGGCATGATGCTGTGATACTTTGTTAACATATTTTTATTCTACCTCTTTTAAAATTTAAGGTTTTCAGATGTTATTCTGGCAACAATTTTGGCAACCAAGTCTGAAATGTGTGGCCAAAAATTTGAACTGAAGATTGATAATGTACGGTTTGTTGGGCACCCAACACTGCTACAGCATGCTCTGGGGCAGGTATGGCCCTCCTTGGGCAGATGGGGCTCCCTCTGGGCAGATGGGACTCTCCTTGGGCAGATGTGGTTCTCCCTGGGCATGCACAGACCCTCTGGGCAGCTGTGGCTCTCCCTGAGCTGGCAGGCCTGGCCCACTCTGGCTCTGGGGGGGCTCAGGACTGAGGCTGATAACCAGCTCTGGTGAAGGTAACTATTGGGCAAGAGACATGATTAGACACCTGCTATGAACTGTGCATCTTTATAAACCCTGAGAGTCCAGTGGAAAAAGAGACAGGTGTTCTTGCCCTTCAAGACAGGTGCTTCAGTCCCTGCCCCTAGTTTTTACAGTCAGCATTCTAGGTCTCTCCTGACTGTGGCCCTCCTCTTTATACATAGGATGTTTCCAGGGGAGGCCAAGATAATGAGTTAACTAGCATCTGTCAAACCTTTGACTTTTCTACAGTGTGGTGCAAGCATTTCTTCTTATTAAAAGATACTCTAGTAGCTAATATTTGTAGTATTTAGCACTTACTATTGTGCTAAACCCTCTATATGTGTTCTCTGATGAATGGGTGTCACAGCACTAAGTTCATGTTGATAGCAAGATGAAGGGAACTTGTGCACCAGAGCCTGCCAGTCAGTTCTCTGCATATAGGCAGAATCAGTGACATTACTCAGATTCTGAAGGGTTCAAAATAACACAGTAACACAGGATCTAGCTACATTTATATAGATCCAGCAATTGTGTGAGGTTCTGTGATGTTATTTGTGAACCTCCATGAAAGGAGTTTCTGAGGCAGTCCTGTGCCTGTCCCCGTGGACCACGCCCTCGATGGAGGGGAGAGTTGGCAGCCTGCCTGGGGTCACACCCTGTAGACAGGAAGGGCAGGCAGGGGTAAGGGATTAAGGGATGGGCCGCGGGCTGCCTGGGGCTCTGACTCCCCCTGGTGGCAAAACTTGTAGCTGGCTCTGAAGAGTTCCTTCCTGCCCCTTGGAATGCTTCCCTTGAGTGCCCTGGTCCTTGTGAAGCTGGCTGGATGCCAGAACCGGGAGCACAGAGATAAAGACTTGGCTCTGGAGTGAGGCCGGCTGCCCTGCTTAGGGTTTGGTTGGCCCTGAACATTGTCTTGTTCCTAAATTGTTCTGAGTGTGCATCATACTTAGCAGAGACAACCTGGGTAGATGCAATGGGAGTGTGGGTCTGTGTCCTCCACCCATTTATGTCCCTCTCCATCCTGTCCCCCCTGGGTGTTTTCAGTCACTTCTGTTAGCTGGGGCGGTCAGGGCACTGACCTTCCCACTCTGGTCATAGTTGTGACTTGTGTCCGTGCAGTAGGCACGCCTCCAGAGCAAAGGCATTCATTGCTTTTTCAAGACCTTGGTGTTGTATTCTGGGGAGTTTTGCCATGCTTGACATAGAATATCTCTAAACAGCTTTCCTTAGAAAGTCATCTCAATTAATTAGAATTATGCATCTTTTACAGGTCTCCAAAACAGATCCCTCCCCGAAGAGGGAAGCACCTACTATGATTCTTTTTAATGTGGTGTTTGCACTGAGGGTGAGTGTTTATGTAAATGGTTAAGATCAGGAAAGGGGGCCGGGGAGCAGCAGCTCTTTTCCACGGGTATGTCATTGACTCGGAGCTTGGACTGCAGTGGGCATGGTGCTGGCCCTCCTGGGGTGCAGACAGACTGCACTTCATTGTTTCTCTTTTTGTTTTAGTAAAATACATGGAACACTATTAGTCATTTTAAAGTGTATGCATCAGTGGTATCTGGTACATTCATGTTGTATACCATCACCCTTACCTAGACCCAGAACATTTTCACCACCCCAGAAGGAAACCTCATATCCATTAGCAGTTATTCTCTCTCTTTTTTTTTTTTTGGAGACAGAGTCTCACTGTGCCACCCAGGCTGGAGTGCGGCAGCACATACTTGGCTCATTGCAGACTTCACCTCCCAGACTCAAGTGAGTCTCATGACTCAGCCTCCGGAGTAGCTGGGATTACAGGTGTGCACCACCACGCCTGTCTAATTTTTGTATTTTTAGTAGAGACAGGGTGTCACCATGTTGGCAACGCTGGTCTTGAAATTTGACCTCAGGTGATCCGCCCAGAGTTCTGGGATTACAGGCATGAGCCACTGCACCCAGCCCCTGCTAATTTTTATATTTTTTGTAGAGATGAGTTTTCACCTTATTGTCGAGGCTGATCTTGAACTCTTGGGCTCAAACGATCTTCCCTCCTCCACTACCATAAGTGCTGGGATTCCAGGTGTGAGCCACCACACCCAGCTGGAGCTTAATTTTTAAGGCAGGCCTACCTTGTTGATAAATAAGGAACTGCAAATTAAAAGAAAATGATTTGTTAATGGCCCTTGGGGCATAGAGTTCTGGGAGTTTGTCACTTTCTGCCTGATATACTTTTGTAGTGTTTGCATTTT